AAGGAGAGTCGGGCATTTTGCCCTTGTAGAAAGCAAGGCTATGTGAAATCAAATGAAAGCGTAAGCGGGAAAAAATTCAACAAGCAGTCCCATTCTCACCTTAAACGAAATAGAGGAAATTCATATAAAATGTTTTTTAATTATTTGCAAAAGCAATTAATGTGATTTTTGTTCCAACACAACCGATAGAACGAAATGGCACAGCAGAAGAAGATGAGTTTTGATGCTGCCCAACTCTTTATCTGCATTAGATATTTTATTGGAAGTGAGCAGATTTTTTATGTGTACCATCATACTTGCCACCTCACGCCCAGCATAAAAAATATTCTTATTTTCCCTTTGTACACAACTGACTCGGGCTATTTGCTGCGCTACTCTCCAACGATCCCTTTGCAGAACTACGCGAGGTGTTTCACGTGTTCGACCGAGACAACAGTGGAGAAATCAGTCGAGAGGAACTGGAGTCGATGATCAAACTGGTGAGTCCCGGGCGGACTCCAATCCAGGTCAAACTGCTAATGAACAAGGCTGACATAAACGGTAATTGCACTTTTGTCCGGTTACCTTGTCTCGCGGTTGCCAGGCAAGGTTGTGAGGCTGTAGGTGGAAAACCTGCTGCTTGGAGGTTAAAATTGTGTTTTTTCCGAGTCTCCTAGTTGCGGAGCTACAGTTTGACTCAGAATTGGAACCTCTTTAATGACGTCGCGCAGGCTTCACCGGTCTGATATCGCGACTTGGGGACTAGGAAAATAGTTGGTCATAAGTGAGTTTGAGATCAAACCAATAGCTCTAATATAAGAGCTTTATTATATCGTCAAAGAGAGCCTCTGTAAAAAGGATTCTATAGGTTTACTTTGTCAAAAAGCCCACTACAGAATGCGATAAAAGAAGATGTGAAATTCACATTTGCACTCGTGGCAATGTGGCCTAGTGGTCAATCTGTCGAGAATATAGGCTGTACTGTCATAGTTCGAGTCCCGCTGAAGGTGTTGCTAAGGCATAGGCGAGGTCGAAACTGCAGTCCACTCCTGCCTGAATGAGAACACCTTATGGCAAAGCAGGGATTTGTAAACTTCAATGGAAAAGTCAGCTCTATTCATATGATTGCAGGAAAATTCAACTACCGGTTCTTCATTACCTTAAACGAAATAGGGTGAATACATCTGATATTACTGATTTACTGGTAGTCTCGAAACTCTACTTATATGAGAAAAATAAGTGATACAGTAATTGCAATATCTGTTATAACTCTGGAGGATAATGAGGACCTTTTCCTGTGAATCGAATTGGATTACCCCCCATCGAAATGAAGTAAACCATTCGTTTGAAATACTAATTGAAGTCATTCGTTTATTAGATAGGTTGCCTGATGATGTCAAAATAGTGTTGAGCTGGAGGTGATTTCTTATTATGACCAGATAGTTTGACCAAAGATACATTCTTGACGGAGTAGGGTCTATAGATATTTACATTGTAAAATTGTGATCGTCATGAAATCCAAAAATGGTTTAGAAGTGATCGTCATGGATAGTTTAAGTGACTTTTAAAGGTTGTTAGTCAATCTAAATGGCATTGACGCAGGTAAGCCTTTTCACTCTAAACGACAAGGATGTATCATGGACTGCGTCATCCTAAACGTTGTAAATAAATAGCTTCTACGCTTCCTTAAATCACTTTAAACGGCCCAGATTGTGTATTTTCCGACTACTGAACTGTGGAGGAGACCAAGACTTATATCTAGCCTGACTATTTTTCAGGCACCGAGTCAACAGATGACCTTTAATATAGTCATTTTTACAGGGAGTAGTTTTAATAAGCCAATCCATACATTCTGAATAAAAACTGTATTCACCCTATGACA